GATCCAATTGTTCATCTTTCTAGTAGTCCAGGGTATCCACAAAACACTCCCCCAGCATCCACAGTTCAGGAAAGTCAAATTTTTTTCACTGTCCAGCTTTTACACTTGTACATAGTCATCAGGAATACAAGAGTGTGGATGATCTTGATCTTTGTCTCCAGTGACAAAACCTTACATTTGATGATCTTTTCTAATTCCTTCATTGTTGCCTTTCCAACTCTGTCTTCTTCTGATTTCTTCGCTACAATCTCCATTTGGATTAGTGGTTGAACCAAGGTATGCAAAATCTTTAACAGTTTCAGTTTCTTCATTGTAGACAATAAAGTAGTGTAGTTCTTCAGCAGTTATGATTTTTATCTCAGAATCTCCCCTTGAAACAAGCAGAGGAGAATGAAGTACTCAGGAAATGGAGTGGTGCCTCTTCTTTCTTTTCTACGTGGGTGCATACTAGTGGAAGTTTGGGGTTTTTTTTTTCATTTTTCCAACATCACTGGGGTTGCAGTGTGGATGGCTGAACATGGCTGGGGTGGGGCCACATGCTGCTTTACTTCCTGTTGCAGATCGGCAAGCCTGGAGCTGCTCAGCCCTGCCTACCACCTGTCATTTCCAAGGAGGATCGGCAGAGGACAGGGCAATAGCTGTGGCTGCACTTTCTAAATTTGGTGCATACTGGAGGTAGTGATTTGGTCTGGTCTGGTTTCATTTTTGCTCTGCCATCGAAATCATCACTTGAAAGCCATTGCTCTAGCACACTCCTCTGAAATTTTGTAAGATGGAATTGTGATTGTCATTAAAGTAGCATCAAGTTGCTATAACTTTGTAACATAATAGCTTTCCATGGAGATACAGTGACCTTAGCATGAGAATACTAGGCCATACAAGGATCCTGTGTACAGGCTTGTATGGGAAGCTATCATATTAGTGTGTACTATTCTAGAAGTAGCTTTGCTTCATTTAGCACTGCATTTTAAGTATCTCAAGGTTTTCTTTTGCTATATGATTGCTAACCACTGAGGAAACAAAATCTTGGCTCCGTAACAGTTACAGCTCTGGCAGTCACTCTCGTCCTGGGACTGAGTGACTTATGTTTGTGTTTTTAATAGGAGGATCTCTCTTCTGGGCAAGTTGAATCTTATTGATGTGAAGCCCAAACTCCCTTGGAGACTTCTGTTACATCAGACAAAGCAAAGCAAAGCAAAGGGTTGCCTTTTGGAAAAAAAGAAACAAAAACAAGGGGGGAATCCAACAGTGGCCTCTGCCAACAAGGAACAAAAGAGCCAAAGTACAGAGCTTCTGGCATTCTTTGTGAAACCCACATGTTGGTATAGGAAAATGCCTTTAGAAATGTTGACAGCAGTTTGGCGAGTGCTACAGCTTTGAATAAATGTGGACTTGATAAAAGAGGGGAAGAAGACTGCTGACAAAATAATCCTTTGGCTAGACCAATACTTCTGGTCCTGTTGTAACTATTCCTAAACCTTTCCATTGTGAGTCCAGGTCCTTCTCTCACACCAAGGCCATCCTTCCTCAACTTTGTGTCTTCCAACTGAACTGGTCTATAACTACCATCACGCCCAGCTAACGTGACATGCTGGCTTGGTGAAGTGGGAGCTGTAGTCTAGCACATATCCAAGATGCCTGGTTGGGGAAGGCTGACCTTGAAAACCAGCTTTTATAAAAGTTATGGGCTATATACATAGGTTATAATTTTCTTTTTTTTATTCAGACACCTGTCAGAGCATCTTTCCTATAGAACTGCTGCCTGTTTTACTGATCCTCCCAGGCCTCAATGTTATGGGTGGCAAAGCCTTCTCAGTGGTGGCCCCTGCACTCTGGAATGAACTCTCTTTGAAGATCCAGCAGGCCTTCTCCCTCCAGAGCTTTCAAACACTCCTCAGAACTGTTGAGTTGGCGCCTGTTTAGTTTCAGCTGCAACCCCACATCCCGCCTGCTGCACATACAGAGAGGCTACCACAGAACAGGGCCTTAAATTAGAGGGAATGTTGCTCATATGACATCTTTACCCTTGAGGTTCATCATCCTTCTTTAGTATTGTCTTGGTTTATTTACTTACCTGTATATTTTATGGGTTTGCTGGTTTGCTTCATTTATTATTTTGATTTGGCTGGAGGACAGGTTGGCAGGGGTTGGGGCTTTATGTTATGTTACAAGACACACCCCTGCCAGAGTAGTGGTTTCCATTATATGGGGCAGCATATAAATGTCAGAAATAAATATATATTCCAGAGGATTATCTCCCTCAATTTATGACTTGGATCTTAAGTATCAAACACATGGAGTAAATTTAGGTCAACTTAGACAATGTAAGCAAAGTACTAGAAGGAAAATATCCTGTCAATGTGAACATCCTGTTCTAGAACCTGGAATGATTTGTGATGGGAAGCCCTTGAAGTGGAGAAGTTGTTACACACTGGTCATCCAATTATGACTGATTCTTTCTTTCTTTCCACCACATCCCATTTCACGTCAATCCAACAATATCAGGAGGGCTGCCTTGGGTTTTTTTTTTAAGAGAAAGGCAAGATATCAATCAGTCAATTAATCTGAACCTTTCTTTCCACCACATCCCATTTCATGTCAATCTAACAATATCAGGAGGACTGCCTTGGTTTTTTTTTAAAGAGAAAAGCAAGATATCAATCAGTCAATTAATCTGAAGGGAAGCTAGCATGCTCCCTTCATTGCATGTGCTGCCCACACATGCACAGCATGACTGAATTGAGCAATAGTGCCTCTTTAATTAGACGTGTAACTACACCTAGAGCATACAACTTAATCTTTCCAACTTAAAGTTGTCTCATTCGTCCTAAATTCTAATATGGAATAGGAAACTCCTTGGTTTTCCAGATGTTTGAGTTCCCAGCAGCCATAGCCAGTATAGCCCAACAACATCTGGAAGCCCACAGTTACTCACCTCTGTTCTAGGAAAATAGTTGTGCCACGAGAGTGATCTACTAGTACAGTATTTACTAGTATCAGCAGCTTGATGGCTCCCTGTTGCAGTATATCCTCAAATGGAGCATCTCATAAATGTTTAAATTGCAAGTGCTTAGTATAATAAGCTATCCAGTATTTCGTTCCTTCTGCTCATTCTTTCCATGTGGAATGTGGCTATGACTCTTAACCAACACTATTTGTCTCCTTTTGTGCCATTAAGCATTTTCAGCCATTGTTTTCTATTTGTGTATTATCTTCCTCAATGGTTTTTGTGGGCGTTCTGGCTTTGAGATAAGAAATTTCTGAGCTTTAATTAGTTATGTGTTCCATTTCAACAGTTTGTAGGGAATTGTTTTCCTTGAGGAAAGCCTGTGTTTTTTAGCAGAACTTCTATGATGCAGTTGGTTGAAGTTTCTCTTTTTAAAGAAAGAAATTCCCAGACAGGTGTTCCTACCAAAATCCTAAAATGCCCCTCAGTGTTTGTAATTCTTCCTCTCCATTGAAGCTGCTTTGGAAAAGAAGGATGATTTGACACTCAAGGCAAGTGTTGAAGGGAAAAACAGAATATATGTATACTGTATCTGGCTGTAGCTAATACTGTACCTTGTCATTGCCCTTCCTGCTGGTGTGTTACCCAGCTTCAGAATGGTGTGAATGACCAATCAGGGAATATAGCTGAGTTTGAAGACTGAAATGGCTGGAAATTTCAACCCTGCCAATATTTCATTGCAAAATAAATGGTCTCTCAAAGATCACAAACCCTGCCTACTTGATCCCATAGTTAGGCTTCCAGCACATCTACATGTGGGAGACCCATTTTTAATAGTTTGAGTAATCAAAGGTGAAACTGTTGTCAGCATGTATTTGCTTTGTTTGGCCAATGTGACATTATTGTAACTAGAACTAATAGCCACAGCAGATGTCTTTCCCATGGATTCAAAAATAGGTTTTGGGACCGAGGGACATGGCAAAAACAAGGTCAGTCACACAAGTACAAAGAATGGAACAGTGCATTAAAAGTAATCCAGTTATTACCAGAAGGGGAAAGTCTGAACCCTCTTGAGATCTTCTGTTCTAGTACAGGTGTGGTCTTTTGTTTTTCCTCTCCCATTTGTATGTACACAAACTCTGTGTATGAATCCAAGTGGTTAAAGGCTGAGCGTCTTCCCAGATCTTAAAAGAGTTTGTACACTCAGGCTGCAACTACACTGACAAATACTTCGGATTTGCCCCTGCAGTTAGCCCAGGATAATCTGAACTGTATTTCAGTGATCACACAATGGGAAGGCCAATGAGAATCAGCCTGACCTTTTTTTGCTTCTGATTTGAATTTATTTTCCTCACCTGCTGGTAGTTTCTTACTTTTTAAAAGCCAAAACTATTCAAACTGTGCTTTTCATGCAGTGATCATTTATTTTGTGGTATAAAATGATGGGGAACATAACTCAGGATGGTGTTCTGGTGACATATTAAACCAGGGCGTGATGTTTTGGGACAGCAGGAATACCCATCCCCGTGATCTTTCTCCCTGGTCACCCCAAGTTTTTTAAAACAAACTGTTGAGTTTAGCATTACATCACCTCTGCACATACAAAAAGAAAGAAAGAGTTGGGGATTGCCAGATTGGCAGAATAAAAGGAAGAGGGGAGCATGGGCACATATAAATTCACATTGGATTGAGGGCCAATGTGGACAGGGGTACTAAAACAATCCAAAATCTTCGTGTGATCACCTAAACCAAACGCAACCATAAATCAAGCTGTAGCAAAGCAACCATAAATCAAGTTGTAGCAAACCGAAATCATGCCCATTTGGTTTGCCAGTATAGTTGTACCTTCAGTATTTTACCTAGTCCTTGGATTACTTGCCTCTGGTTTTATGTCTGGGTTGGGATGGGTTATTATTATTATTATTTTTAGATTTCTGGCTCAGCTTATTTTTCCAGCATTATATCCCCTTTCCCATTTAATTGCTCATCAAGTAGGTCTGGGAGTAGAATGTTCATGAATTGCTTAATTTGTCTTCTTCCTTGTCCTTTTTAGAGTAAATCATGGCGAAAGATCAAAAACATGGTGTACTGGTCCCCCTTTGTTATGTCCTTCAAGAAGAAATATCCTTGGATCCAGCTAGCAGGACATGCAGGTACAGAAAATTGCATTGTGCTTTATGAACCTCAAAGGAAAATGCCAGCTAATGAGCCTAATGGAAGGAAGGTGCTTGGGAAACCTCCTGGTAGAGTCAAGATAATTATCTACCTTAATGTAAATTGCCTCTAGAAATTGAATTATGTATGCTTTTATCCTGCTTTTTAATTAGGTGTAAGGATAATTATGTGCAAACCACTGGAAAATCTAGGAAGTTTGAAACAGGTGACCCCCAAGGGGTTGCAAGTTTTTTGTTACTTCTCCCTGCAGTGTTTATGGCTTGATTAAAAATAAGGCAGTAATGTTGTTAACAGATAGTGATCTGAACCCTTTGTTGAAGTGAATCATTGCTGCACACTTAGAGCCTTCTTTGCTAAAAACAACCCTGTCCACATCCTTAATGAGCATATATCATATGATTATATCCCCAGCAGATACCTGTCAATATCTTCTTGAAAACTTCAAAGAAGGAAAATGTGTAGGCTTCCTAAGCAACCTGTCCCATTCTTGTGTTGGTCTTGAAATATGGAAGCTCTTTAAGCCAGAACATAAACTTTTTTTCTAGTTCCAACCAGATTCCAAGTCATTGCTGTCAGCCTCTTCCTAAGTTTTTCAGTTCTCTGTCTTGCCATCTTTCTGTCAACAGGGTTCATAATACAAAAAACTCTTGGCATTTTCAGAATGGAGACTTAAACTTCGTGGCTTTTTCTGTTCTGAGTTCTGAGCAAGTCACAGGGGCTGTGCTGATGTCAAGTTGTTCGTCACTTGACCCTTGTTTTCCCTGCTTTCTGTTTTGTAACAGTTGGAGAAAGAGAGAAGTGGTTGGAGAAACTGAATGTAAGAGAAGGGTGTGGAGCCTCTTCCTGCCCAAGGGCCAAATTTGGGGTTATATAGTTCTCAGGACCATATTCCTAGAGCAGAGTGAGCAAAAGACAAAGAGGTGTGTCCAAAAATACTAGCATGTTTTCATGTATAGCTCTTTAGTGCTAGCAACTAAGCTTTAAGAAAGGCGTTTCAACCACAGAAATATGGGGAAAGGGGCAGTACAAAAGCTGTTGAAGGTGCTAAATAATGGGCTTATGGCTAAGAAGACACAGCTGGTGGAGGATAGGAGATAAAGGTTCAACCAATACCATAAACAACTCCATTATGTTGAATTGCACAGGCATCTAGACATGTGACTCAAAGCCTAATCATGTCAATTTGGCCACTACTCGTGGTATTTGGCCTAGATGACACCCTTGGAATGAGCCATTGTTGAAATGGCCAACTGTGAAGTGACTGGGCTAGGCGCATGGTGAGAAGTTGGAAGGGTTCTCTTGCAGCAGACAGCCGTGTTATTGGATAGTGGGTAGTGATGACACAGCTCATGGCAGTGCTGGCCCTCCAGGACGGAATCTTTGTAACTGCTTTCAGAGATCAACAGCATCATCTGATGTTGGCATTCTTGTGCCTGCCAAGGCTGGAACACACTACTGAGTACTTGCTGCACTTAATTGTTGTTAAAAGGTAAGGCACAGTATATGGCATAACTGTGTGAAATGTTCTCGGTACACAGTTTTGAAAACAAACAACTTTTCATTGGACCTCTTTCTGTTTCTGTGTCTCAGGTAGTTTCAAAGCTGCAGCTAATGGGAGGATACTGAAGAAGCATTGTGAGTCTGAACAGCGCTGCTTGGACCACTTGATGAATGATGTCCTTAAGCCTTACGTCCCTGCCTACCATGGAGACATAGTGAAAGATGGGGAGCGGTACAATCAGATGGAAGATCTGTTGGCTGAATTTGACTCTCCTTCTGTCATGGACTGCAAGATGGGAGTCAGGTCAGTTTCTCTGTGCAGTAAAGGATACCACATTTTTCTCCCTAATAATACCTTAGTACCAGGGTGGGAATCATGTAGCCCACAAGGAACCCACATTTTGTGCCCCCCATTTTAAAATCCCCCCAAAGTAGGAGGATCTTGCCTCCTGCTTCAGTTCTCTAAAAATCTGAAATACCATGTTTTCTCAGAACAACCCTCTAAAATGGTGGGCATCCTTCAGAGGGACAAGGGACACTCATGCCAAACTGTGGACTCTGCATCCCACCTATGTCTAAGTTTTACTTTAAAAACCACCTAATTGTACTTAGTGGCTATTTTTAAAAAAATAAATAGGCCCCAAAAGATGGCAAAATTGACTGCCTTGGTCCCTGGAGACAAAAGGGATCCCCTTTCCTCCAAATCTATTTGTGGGGGTTGAGAATATTGTAGTACAGAGTAACAGCATGCAGCTTATGGTCTGCAATGGTGCCCATTCTTGCTGTAAAGCAACTCACCTTATTTGGAGGTGGAGTCCTTTAAAAAAAACTTAGATGTTTCTTTTTAAAATAGACATGATATTTGATGGGTTTGTTGTGGTCCCTGCAGAATCCTAGGGCTAGAAATGTGACTGTCACTGTGTTTAATATTTCTCTGATTCATTACATTGGCTACTGTTTGCAGAAGGTGAAAAAATACCAAGGACAGTGTCTTTTAGTAAATACTGCTTGCTTGGTGGGCGTGGGTGAGATTTGGGTCTCCTATAACACCATCCTGCAATACCTTTGATAAGTACCGATTGTACTCTCTTTGTGCTTGTGAGAGAGCATTGTAGCGATGAGTCTCAGAGCCCTGGTCTACTAATGCCTGCTTTAAAGCATCTCTGGAAAACCTATACGAAAGCCATTTGCCCTAGTGCAAAACTACATTTTAGCTCCCGATCTCTTGTGCATGTGCAGCCACCACAAGTCTGTTGTCATTCATGCTTGTTTGAATTACGGTTGTTAGTCTTGTTTTTGTTTATGTCACTGAACCATAATTCCCAGTTTCTCAGCCACCAAACCCTGCTAGCTGAGGGATTTGAGAAATTATAGTCAATAATAAAAATTTTCTCAGAGTCAGATTCGAATTCTGACTCAGATGGTTATTTTAATTCCTGCAATTTGGGCATGAGGTGCCAAGTTATAACTCTGTGGAAAATAACTCCCCACTATCACAAAAAGATAGAAGAAACAATCTTGTTAAAATAATGGGCATAGCTATTGATTGTTAGTGCAATAACTAGCCATCTCTAGTCAGATTACTTGAAGTACGGTGTCTAAGGAAACTGTAGGAGCTCCAGACAACTTGAAATTGTGGCTGCGATATTTGATACCTTCCCAAACTGAAATGTGTAATTCTACCTCTCATTCTTCAATTTCCCCTGAATATTACTATGCTACAATGCAGGGAGGGGCTATTTAGTTGATGTGGTTTCTAATTCAATTTAAATGTGGGAGATTATAATGTTGCAATTTGTGGTTTTGGTGCAACCTATGGAGAAAATCTAAATCAACCACAAATTCAGATGAGTGTTACCTGTAAAGGGGCTCTGAATGCGGAGTTGTGTTCTCTTCCCTACCCCACCCTTCCAGGATAAAAGAAAGTCACTGTTGTGTGTCATCATGAGTTTACTCTTTGTGAAGGAAGAAGCTGTTTGCTCTGTTTGGCTTGGAGTCTGCTTGCGCTGAAGGAAAGCAAAGTTCAAATTAAATGCATGAACAAATGGAAAAACATTCTAAGCTGGGTTAACCAGGGCTTTTCCCTCAAAAAAGAACATCCTTGTCAGGAAGATAATGGAAGATTATTGCTTTGCAGTTTGCTTGACCTAGAGGCATCCTGTAGATCTGTTCTTCTTCACAGTTTATATGAAAGTGTATTACCATAGCACCTCAGTCTGTTGACTATTACACATTGCTCCCATTACGTCTGAGCCTCTTAAGCAGCCAGTTCAAACCATAATATAAACTATTCATTAATGCCACTAATAAGTATTAGTGGCTCAGCATGTCTGAGTGAGAACAAGAACAAAGGGACAAGTCAATTGACGATGACCATTCTTCTCAGAAATCAACCTGTGGTATGTTTCTTGACTAGGCAGTGATGCCCAGCTGTGTATTTCTGTGTGGTTTCTCGGCAATGGAAACCTGAAAAGGATTAACTCAACAACTGCAGCTTTGGTTAATGTGGCTTCTAATCCAGTTTATTCCAAAGACCACCAAAGCCACCCAGTGAAACAGAGTACAGTGGTGCCTCGCTTAACGGGCAGCCTGTTTAACGACGAATCCGCATAGCGATGGCTTTTTTGCAGTCCCTTTTGCGATCGCATTGCGATGTTGCCTATGGGGAAAAATCGCAAAGCGATTTTCCCCCATAGCCCCATTTTCCCCCAGCTGAGTGACGGGAGCTTACGAAGGACCGCGGGGGAACCCTCCCCCGCAGTCCTCCCAAAGGCCCCATTTTCGCACAGCTGATCGGCAGTTCCAAAATGGTCGCCCGCTGTGTTGCCTCGCTTTAGAGGCACCAAAAATGGCCACCCTATGGAGGATCTTCGCATAACGGTGAGTTCCCCCCCACAGGATTAAACAGGGTTTAATGCGTTCCTATGGATTTTTTTGCCCCGTATAGCGACAAATCCGGATAGCGACGATTTATCTAGAATGGATTATCGTCGCTATGTGGGGCACCACTGTAGCAGTAGGCAGGACAGACAAAATATGTGGCAGTGGATTTCATAATATGCCGTGATAGCCTCTAGCTTAGATGACTTTAAAAGAGGATTTGATAATTTAAAATAAATGATTTACTGCTTGACACAATGGTTTGTTTATTCTGAACTTTATATCCAGAAGTTCATCCTTCCTTTTCCAAAATGTGAAATCTGTTGTCAAGTGCTTGAAGCTCTCATGGCTTCTCAGATACGGGCTTGGCTTCTTTCTGAGTTAGTAGAGTATGGTCAAATCTGGTAGCAATCTGCAAATATTTTTGGAGTGGTGTTCTTCTTATTAAGGCTTGTCTATCACAGTATAAAGCCATGGAAGAAGTGGTGTGAAATAATTGGCAACTCATGCCTGGCATAAATTTTGCTGAATTTGGGAGTACCAAACAGCTACACCAGTTCTTCTTAGAAGGCAGAGACCTCTAGTGGAGGCATGGGGAAACTCAGCTCAGAAAAACAGTGGTTTGAGAGAGAGAGAGCATGTGTGTGTGTGCGGGGGGGGGGGGGGGGCTCTGGGTTATGGCCCTTGACCCAAAAAAGCTACAAGTGGAATAGTAGGTCACTAGCATTCTTACATTTGTCCAGGGACATTTTTTATTTATTTATTTAATTTATATCCTGCCTACATTGATGAAGTAGCTCATTTCATACAAGTATCTGTAGGAAATATTTCAAAGTATGAGTTTAAATAATTTATTAGAGTACTTTTGAATGTAATTCATACACTTAGCAATTCAGCACCCTAAGTAACCTACAGTGATTTACTAATCTGAAACATGGTCAACCCATATGACTTAAAGGTGACAATTCCTTAGGAACCATGCGGAGGGAGTCTGTCTGATTGAGAAGGGCTACTCCTAAGATTAGACATGGGCACTAAGTAAGCATTTCCAACTTCGGTGCGGAAGTGGGGCAGGGAGTCTCCCTGCTCAGCTGATGAGAGGTTGGCTGCATGGGGAGGCAGGGAAGAACCAACCTGGCTCCTTCCACAATGGCATGATGATGATGGAGCCAAGCACCGCACAGAACCTTGTAAGTGGCCTGGCCAGTTCAGGGAGTGGGCAGAATTCATTTCTCCAGGGAAATAAATATGAAGTGCCCATGTCTACTTAAGACCTCAGTTTAAAATCTAACATATATCTGGTACAGTTATCAGATTTTAAATAACATATTATGGCCAAGTAGCTGTGAGTTTGACAATTAGAAGTGTCCTCAGTCCACTGTACAAAAAGGAGTACTTCCAGAGTGCAACATTTGTACAATACCTATTTTAAATGTATTCAGTATCTTTTAATTACATGTATTGGTTTTTGGCAGATATTCAACAATTTCTATTAAACACAAGAGTTTTAGCTAATAATCAGGCAGGGTTGAAGAGCTTTTCTATTAAATGAAACAAGTGGGACTTGCAACAGAATGGACATTTATTCATGGAGAGCTTCTATTCAGAATTCTAACCACTCTATTCCACTATCCCTCCCCCAAATTTGTATCTTTTTTTTCTCAAGTTAGTTCTCATTGGACTATTTTGCACATTTCCTTTCTGGATATTTTTTTTTCTTAAAACAGTGTACCTCTGCAAACTTTGAGACTGCCCTGTGTCTGCTAATCCCTCCCTCCTCTGCAAGAATGGTGTGAGGTTTTGCTATTTAATTGTCATCACTTACTCAGAGTCTTGCAATGGCTTTACTAGTATATGTGGGAATGATTCTATGAGATATCATGATGTAAATATGCCTGTAGCTGAGGCTAATAGTGGCAATGCACGTTGTCTTTGCAGAACCTACTTAGAGGATGAATTAATAAAGGCGAGAAAGAAGCCAAGCCTTCGGAAGGACATGTATCAGAAGATGATTGAAGTAGATCCTGAGGCTCCAACTGAGGAGGAGAATTCTCAGCGTGCAGTTACTAAACCCCGATATATGCAGTGGAGGGAAACCATAAGTTCTACAGCAACTCTTGGATTCAGGATTGAAGGAATAAAGGTAATGTTTTTGTCTTTGGTTGCTGTAGAACAAAGGGAAATAAAAATCATCTTTTAGAAAAGTGTTCAGTACTAAAATTCCAAAACTTGTATGAACATGTCTGAGTTCACTTGATGTTTCATTTGTCTTTCTGTGCTGCAGTGTGAAGAAGTTCTAGGGTAGCTGAGGTCAAATGAATTCTTCGTTAGCCCTGCAGTCTAAGTCTAGCCAAACATGTTCACAAACCTTCTTCAGCCTGGAGCCTTGCTTTACCAAGAACATTGTCAGTGTTTTCAGGCTTTTCAGATACCTGACAGCCCTTTTCAGATTTTGGTATTGGATGTGTTAAGATCACCTATATTCCATCCCCATTTTAGCCATACTTATGTGGCTGACTAACACTTTTATATGCTTGATGCCTTTCTGAAATGGCAGGTCTGGGGAATTGCATTGTAAAGGATTGTGAGACACCTCCTGTCTTTTCCCCACCCCCTGCTTCTATAAGCACAAGAAAATCAAGCTAGTTTTGTACATACCTGCTAGATTACCTGATGTCTATAATCTCTGTGATATTAACTGCCAAGTGCCTAACCTGAAACCAAAATGTAAGTGCAAATGTAGTCCCAATACAAATTAAGCAATCAGGTTTCCTTTGGGTTAGAGTAGCACATAGAGAGCTTTGCCAGCATGGTTATATATGGTGACAGTTTTAAAAGATCCAGTCATGATATTCTGCTTGTGGAAGTGAGCCAGCTTATCAACAGAAAAATCTGTAATACGTGTGTATAAGTACATTAAAGAACCTCTGGTGGATGCAAGCAACCCCTTCTATGAGAAGAGGCAGGTAGTCTGTAAACTCTGGCCCTGCAGGGTGCTGAGCATTTATCATACCTTGCACTTTCCAAGATGGATCCAGTTGTGGAAGCTTGGTAGTGCATGACTTGCCATGTATCTGGACACAGGTTGGACATCTTGGGGAATCAGAAGGTGTGAAAGTGAAAGTGCCGCATCCTCTTTAGACTTTCAGCTGACTTCGTGGCTGGAGATTTCAAACAGGAGCTCTTGGCACAGCAAGACCTAACAAACAGGAAGTCCTGAAGTATTTAAAGGCCACCTCCAATGTGGCCAGAGTGGACTTGCAGTGATATAACTGGCGCTTCCACAATCTTCTCTCCTAACCCTCTGTAACCACAGTAATATCTCAGAAATCTGCACCAGAGTGTCTGCCAGTCTCAGAGCCAGTTTGGGTGTAAGAGACACTGAGGGAAAAGAATGTTCCGTACTAGAAGATGTCAGTTTGTTAGCAGATGGACGACCAAGAACTGGAAGAAGAGGAACATATTTTCCAGTCTTCTCTAGACACTCAGCAAGTGATCCAATTTTGTTTTGTTTTTAAATCCTGTAGCTGTTAATTAAACTTCAGCAATCTTGTACAGTTGCCCACATATAGTGTAGGTTATTCCACATCCTGTTTAATAGAAAACAAATCTCTGTTGACTCACAGTGGTGATTCTGAGTAACAACCTTGGTTTTGTCCTTGTTCTTTTTATAGAAAGAAGATGGCACCGTGAACAGGGACTTCAAGAAGACGAGGACAAAGGAACAAGTTATGGAAGCTTTCAGAGAATTCACTAAAGGAAACCGTAACATTCTGGTGAGTCACTTCAGCCTGTTTGCTCCTGAATGTCTTGCTTAGCATGATAACTACATACTGACCTTCCTCACAACTGGGCAACATATGTCATACATTCACGAGGCGCAGTGTTTTAACTAAATTGGGCCAAATTCTGGCAATATGTCTGTAGTGGAATGGTGGTCATCAAATGGTCCACAAGGTGCCTGGTTCTGTGGTCTTTGCAGTCCTCAAGAGCTTCACCCAACACACTCTGCCCATGTTTTTTCATTTAAATTACCATATTTTTCGCACCATAAGATGCACTTTTTCCCCACAGAACAGGGGGGTGGGAAGTCTGTGCATCTTATGGAGCGAAGAAAACAGATTATATTTTCCTGTTTTCTTCTAAAAAAATTGGTGCGTCTTATGGAAAGGTGCGTCTTATGGAGCGAAAAATACGGTAATTAGGCCATCAGAAGACTCCAGCAAACATGATTATTCTGTCCTGCCACCCTCCACAATAAGGTTTTCATGAAAATGGAAATGGCCTGCAGGCCACTCCTTTTGGGGAAGAATGCAGCCTCTGACAAGTCCTAGGGAGAACGAAATTGGTTCCTGAGCTACCAAATTTGTTTGCTCTTTCTGTAATCAGATTGCCTGAAGGCTTGGGAAATAAAAAGGTTTTATGAATCCTTGTTAGAGGAGGGCAGATTCCCATTTGCAAAGAACTTCAGGAAGGAAATTGAACACTGGAGTAACTTCTTCCTGCTTCACTGAATGACAGCCAGATCCTGCATGTGTAAACTATTGTTCTTCCCTCCCACTGTTGTTCTTTCCTCCATGCTGAATGTGAGAGTAGGAGAAATAGGTGATCTGACACTCAGTCCATGTAGGTCAGTGCATGTGGTGGCAGCCTGCAATTAGGGACTCCCTCCCAGGTCCAATGGAAATAACTGCATCGTTCAAACATCACTTGAACTGTCTTCTGTACAAAACATGATTTAATTATGCTGCTGAAGTTGAGCAGGTTTTGACATGTCAGCAACTTGATGGAACACTACCTAGAAATCATACTGTATTTCCCTGAAAATAAGACAGGGTCTTATATTAATTTTTGTTCCAAAAATGCATTAGGACTTATTTTCAGGGGATGTTTTATTTTACAGTCATGTCATCTTCTTCTGGTTGTTGCACAATGCTGCACAATGGTGGAGGGCAGGGTTTCACTTAACTGGGGTTATTTTTGGGGTAGGGCTTATAGTATGAGCATCCTGAAAAATCATACTAGGACTTATTTTCAGGTTAGGTCTTATTTTCAGGGAAAGAGGGTACATATATGGCTCTCAGTTTCTTGGAGGAAGACCAAAGTGTAACTGCAACAAATATTTCAAAAGTATATGTCCTGCCTTTCCATTTTAAATAAATGTCCAAGGTGGCTTACATAAAAGCCAGTGTAAAGGAATGAACAAAGAACACCAGATTATGGTTGTTGTGGATTTTTCGGGCTCATTGGCCGTGTTCTGAAGTTTGTTCTTCCTAACGTTTCGCCAGTCTCTTTGGCTGGCATCTTCAGAGGACAGGAGTCAGAACTCTGTGCTCTGGTGCAGTTTGTTTGGATAGTTGAGTATTTATAGCTGTGGGATCAGCTTTTTGTCCTTTTCAGGAGATGGGTGATTGTGGTGATCAGCGTGTTTTTTGTTGTGGGTGTATTGTTGTGATAAGAGGGAGAGATTATCTGTCACTGTGATTGATGGGTTTTGTTAGCTGGTCTTTTGTGTGCAGTGATCACCAGTCCTTGTGGCTGGGTAGAGTTTGTTGACCTTTTGCAGGCTGTATTTTTTTCAGTGCTGGCCAGGTTTGTTGAGTTTTAAACTTTCTTCTTTTTTGTTGAAGCTCTGCTGGTGTTTGTGAATTTAATGGCTTCCCTGTGCAGTCTAACATAATGATTGCGGGTGTTGTCCAGTACTTCAGTATTTTGAAATAGAATTTCATGTCCAGCTTGTTTTAGGACATGTTCAGCTACTGTCGATTTTTCTGGTTGTTTTAGTCTGCAGTGTCTCTCATGTTCTTTGATTCTGGTGTGGATGCTGCATTTTGTGGTTCCAATATACAGCAAACATTGTTCTTAAAAAAAAAAAACAGCTACATGTAATTTGTGCTCCTGAAAGCCCTTGGAAAATTTTTTGTTGTTGTTCCTCTCCCACTAGAGATTGGACGTCAGCTTTGCTATTTTGACTTTGGGTGTGGCAACTCTGAAAAGTGATGTTCAGTTGCAGCCAAACAAGTCCTGGGACTATTCAGCCAATAAGTGCTTATCCTTTTTTCCCCATTTATTTCATTCTGAACAATAGCCGTAACAATGCCTACTTTTATTTCTTATTGTGTGACCAAATTAAAAATTCAGAGCCCCTGGAAATTAAAAAAGGTCTTACATTGCATCTAAAGATAATCATCTTGATGGCCGTGGAACATTCTTAATGGAGAACATTCCATAAGCAGAAAATGCCATAGCACCAGCGGAAATGTTCCAACCTCCGAAGGAGAAGGAACCTAGATTAAGGTGTCAGGATATGACCTATCATCATGTGTGTTCATAAAAGAAAAAGTAGACCTTCATTTACCCACTGCCAGCTATGTGCAGTGCAACAGGTCAAAAACAGCACTTTGAATTGCACATAGAACCAGCTTGAATCCTAATGAAGATAAATTTGTAAAACTGAATGACATATACATTTCCACCTGTACTAGAATCTAAGACTCAATCCAATCCAGGTGTCACAACCTCCCAAGTTTTGATAGGTTGCCCCATGATCATTAGTGTATGAGGAACAGAAGGTAGATCAAGGTTGTTTGGAGTAGATTTCCGACTCCCAATTGATTAATGACAGCACTTTAAATATGAGTATCCTTCACTCCAGTTATACTATTAAAGTGAAGAAATCTGGAGACATAGTATAGCCAAAATTCTCTGGAGTTTATTTTATGTGGGTGAGTAGTGAGCATGTCATTGTGGAAGAGTCTAAGTTACTGCTGGCTTGGAATGGGATTTCATCCAGAGATAGCACCTGTAACCTATTTTAAAAGATTGGAGCACCCACTCATTCTCCTGTCCTTTTGGCTACCTGTCAAATTCACCTACCCTGCAAGCAGCAGGACTCTGATTTCTGGTACAGATATTTGGCATCATTAATGGACAGTGATCGGTGATTTAGCTTCTGTTATGTTGGCATAGGCTGTAGTTACCCAGAAATCCCAGATGCAAAACTCCCTGGTTGTCCCTGCAGACAGGTGGAGGTGTACAATTGAAGCAGTAGGAAGTAGTATCCAGAAGTGGGAAAAGTTGTTTTGGCTTGTATTCAGTTGCTAGCCCCAGCTATGGTAGATCATTAAATCAATTGCTGCTTGGTACAACTCTTGTGTAAATCCTGTTGATTCAATGGTTCTATGCTAGTTGGGTCTAGCAATTCGATTTAGGCTATTTTTGGCCTACAGGTGTCAATCTAAAAAATAAAACTTTTCTCATCTCAGACAGTAGACACATATCCTTTGAAACAGGTGAGCACCATCTTTCTTTATGAAAAATCAACATGCCTGCGATTGCTTTATGCAGTAATCCGTGTCATAAGTTAAATGGTCTCAAGTTAACCCTGTGATACAAGTTGGCTGCTCTAATCCTTGATAAATCTTTCTCTTTAGAACCGAAGGGAATGGAAAACCAAGTGCACTATTCAGGGAAAAGCAGGCATGGAGAGGATGGTGTGGGCTTGCACGTGCTCATCTGTACTCTCTCAAGTTTCAGATCACAGATGCTGTTTGAAGTCACTAGGCACTATCAGTCTATAAATGTTCTTAAAATCACTATAAAGTGCATTTTATTATAAATATATTAAATGAGAGTCCTTTGACTAAGCTGTGAATTGTCCTCCAATCTGTAAAACTTTAAAAGTGCCCTTGGTGGGTGGGGTTGTGAATA